CCTCCAAAGCACACCCACTGAACAAGCAGTGTCCCCATCCCCCCCGTTCCCCCCAACCCCTTCATATCTGCTCCCTCTTGGTGTCCCTCATATGCCCAGCTTCTGCCTGGCCATGGTGCTCATGCCAACATCACTGTCCCTCCCCAACAAGAACCTCAGGGGAGACCTGGGCTTGGGAGACTTGAGGGGTGTGCTGCGCATGGAGAGCGTGTGGCAGCAGGGACAGTGACTCCTGACACTCCCAGGACAATTTCTCATAGCCTCAGGACTGCAGCTGAGCCCTCTTCTGGGGACAGCCGGCTGTGACAGAAACGGGATTCGGTTCCACACGTACCCAGTTATCCCTTGGGAAAGCAATAATTGCAATATTAGACGTAAATTAGGAACCGGCCTCCAGGGCTTCCCCGTTTAGGGCGCTCTGAGCCCAGGGCAGTATGGAGGCAGTGGCTCCTCTCGCACCGCTCTGTGCCCAGCCGGGAGCCAGCCCTGTCCCACTGTCCCCAGGCAGCTCCTGCCCGGACGCTGCTCCCTGCCTGGCCTGTAGTTGCCGGTCCCTCCCTTCTGGCTGGAGCCCCATTTTCTCTCGTAACACCGGGTCACCTCCGGGGCTGTGGTCATCCCACACGGTGCTTACAGGCCAGAGCCACCAATGCCATCGCCCGCCGGGCGCCGGCTGCTTTGTGGCTGGGACTTGCAAAGCAGCCAAATGAGCGTGGGCTCAGGCAGTGACGACTTCCAGGGCAGGTGGGATGGGTGCTCGCTGCACACCCTGGGGCGATGGGAGCCCGCAGGGCGCCCATGAGGTGTTTGCTGCCCCCGACCGGCGTGGGCTGGAGAACCTTCCTTGGCGCTGAGAGACAGCAATGAGCCCTGCCTCAGTTTCCACATCTTTGCCATGCAGGTAGTTGCGGGGAACAGTTAGTTACTGTCCATAAAATGCTTTGAAAATGAAAAGACTCCTGCTGTTGTGTTATTATTATTAATATCCTCCAGGCTTTATTACTGAAACTGCTGCTGGAGGTGGAAGTTTCTTATAGCCACAAATGGTTGAGCTTGATTTAGGGAGCCATAGCTTATATGGGAGAAATTATTATAAACACAATTGGTTTATTTACTGCTGCACTAAAGCAGACGGGACAATTACCAGTGCAATAATGCTATCTCCACCTCAGGCTCCAGCCCCTTCCACGCCAGCGCAAACCTCCTGGAGCTGGGGCTGCTGCTGATGGGACATCTCCTGCCCCGAGCACCCTGCACCCTGGCAAACCCCTCCAAGGGGTCCCACAAGTCTCTCCTGCCTCACGTAGGAACACGGTGGTGGCCTTTTGGGCAAGACGCTGGGCAGGCTCGGCACCCAAGGGCAGCGGTGTGGATGGCAGGGAGGGCATTCGACCCACCTGGTGGGAGACACCAGGACAGGAGGGCTTCAAAGACCCCCAGAACAGGCAGAAGCAGAGCTGGCCTGTGGCACAGTGAAGGTGAGACCTTTGCTGTCCCCTCAGAGGAACCCTGCTGACCCAGCTCCTGCAGAGGTGCCCCATGGCTTGGTGGCCTCTTTGCGACTGCTCAGTCCTGCAGTATGCCTGAAAATTGTGCCAAACAAGCAACCAGGAAACCAGAGCACCACAGACGAGACGAGGAAACACATTTGTGTGGAAACAAACCCTATTAGTTTAAAAATATGCAAAAGCAAAAAGAAAAAAATAATAAAAAAAAAACCCCATAGTTTGCAGTGGAGCGAATGCTGAATGACTCCAGTAATGGCCTTAATTCCTGGAGGCTGCAGAGGGATTCATCAGAGACATCAGTGATGGGGTAATTCAGGAAAACCCCCACAAAAAGGCCGAGCAGTTAGTAGGACTGGCACCCCCTGCCCCGGCTGTGCCCCCGGCTGGACTGCTCCCACCATGGCTCCGGGGGTGCCGAGACCCCCGCAGCAGCAGGGCTGGGTGCTCACTCCACCTCTGCTGGGGCTCAGGACCGGGCAGCATCGCAGCTTGTGCGCTCTCAGGGTTTGGTGGCCCTGGACAAACCTGAAGAGCAGCAAGAAATTGCCCAAGGGAGGAGGTGGCTTTGGCTGTTTTCATTTAAGAAGGGCTTGGTTTTGGGACAACCTGGAAAGCCACCATTCCAGCACTTTGGGAGGAGAAACTGGCTGTGTAGCAATACTGGGTTTGCAGGGGAAGCCAACAGCTCAGGAAGGCTCAGGCTGGCACCTTGACCCACGGGGTCCCCACCACTGCTCTTCCTTGTCCCCCTGCCCCAAGCTCTGCATTTCTGACCCTGAGGGGGAGGCCGAAGGTGCCCCCAGTGCATGGCCACGTTAAAAGCTGGGAGGGCAATAAGGAGCCCATGGTGGGATCTCTTTTCCCTGCAAAAAAACGCAAATTTCCTGCAAAACGCAGGTTTTTCCTGCAAAACCCAGGATGTTTTCCAACCCATAAGGAAATACACAGAGCAGTTGGGTAGAGGGGGATGGGACACTCCCATCCCACCCTCCTCCATCCCATCCCCTGCGTCCTGCGGCTGCAGCGCGAAAATCCTCCCCCCTGTGCCCCCGTGGGGCAGCAGTGACAGACGCCAAGAGCTTTGGGGCCTGCGTGGCTTTAGCCCCCGGGAGAACCCAAGGATCCACACGGAAACAGGGTTGGAAAAGAAAAGGAAACAAAAGAGCGTAAAATGATCTGCGAGACTCCAATTCACTCTCAGGGGTGCAGAGGGCGCCTCTGCCACATACAGCACTGAGAATCATACAGAGCTGCAATATAGAGATCTTTCTATGTATATATTTATAGGTATGTATATATTTATAGTGCACTGCATTTAAAACAGCCGGGCCTGCTTCTTCAGCTCGTTCCTCTTCCACAGGGCCAGGCGGTCGAACTCGGCGATGGTCATACCGAAGATCTGGTAGAACTCCTCCTGGGAGAGATGGCGCTGGGGAGAGAGGGGATGCTGGGCCAGGGCTGGGGACTGTGGCCACCACCCGGGGCCAATGGCCACCACACAGGCCCTGTGGCCGCAGCAGTGGGGGAGGACACACAAGGGGGTCTGGTGGCAACCCCTGCCCAGCCGGGTTGGGGTGCTACAGCTCCCAGCAATGGGGGGCTCCCTCCTGCTCCTGCCAAATGTGCTCATGCCCTGGGCATGAGGAACAGCTCTGCCCAGCCAGCAGAGCAGCAGGACCACCCTCACAGGCTGGTGGCACCCGTGTGCTCCTGGGGAGCCATGGAGATGCTCCTCATACCTCCACAAGCCCCTCGCAGCCCCATGCTGCCTGCCAGTGCTAAGGGGACAATATGTGGGACTGCGACCTTCTGAGCCCCGAGGAGATTGTCCCTGGTGGAAAACGCTCTCCTCACCTCTAACCGAGTCCTGTCCACATCTTTGGGCAGCTGGTTCCTCCCCCTCGTCTTCACCAGGAGCAGCTCGTAGGGGTATATCTACACGAGGACAGGAAGACCATGAGGTAGCTCCAGATCCAGAAGAGGACACACGGGGGAATTAGGCCATGGGGGCAACCAGGGTAAAGCCTTTCCCCGCCATGTTTAGCAGGTTTTGGGTGGCACAACTGCCTCCAGGGCTTAGACAGGACAAGACAGAGGGTGTACTTGCTCTCAGGGTCACCCTAATCCACCTTAAGTCACCTTGGTGGCTGTGTAATAGCCTGCTCACTCCGTGAACCCAGGAGTGACCCAGGGACAAGTGTGAGTAAGGCACCACCAGCACAACCACCCTTCTCTGTTCCTCACCCAGGAGACGATTCTGCTTGGCCAAGTGCTTGGGACCCTGGCGGGAGGGGAAAGACTTTGGTCTGAGACTCACAGCCCCAGGACAGGGCTGTCAGGTGGGGGATGGAGGGGCATGAAGGTAGGGTATTGTGGGCAGAGGGCAACGTTTCCTTCTGAAGGGCCTGGGGACACACAGACACGTCTCTGGGACTCCCTCAGGGTGATACTCGCACCTCTGGCTGGCAGCCGCTCCTTGGATCGGGGGCATCTTACCTTGTACTCTGTGGGGAGAGAGAAAAGACAGGAGAGACATGAGCCACGCTGACCCCTCCGCTGCCAGGATTCCCCCCCCCCCGGCTCCAGGGCTGCAGGGACCCCCGCCTGTCTCCCTCCTTCTCTCTCCAGCCTGAACCTCATTTTCCAGAGGTGCCTGTGGTGGGGCAGGCACCCCCACAGCATCTGGCTCCGTGCCTACAGGGTCCCCTGCCCGTGCTGCTCCACAGCCCCGCAGCGCCTTACCTCGCATCCCCCAGTTGACGGCGTTCGTGCTGTCGTAGTGGAAAAGCTCGGCACTGGGAGGCTGCAGGTGGGATACAGGGAGGGAGGAGTAAGAGGGGGTCCCCTCCAGATGCTCAACACAGCACCTCCCACATCCCCAGCGGGGAAGGGACCCACCCACCCTGAAGCAGGACCCACTCCCCACACCTAGCAGTGGGGAAACTGAGGCACGAGGAGGTGAGGCGACAAGCCCAGGTCACACAGAGGCAGGATGAGGTCTCCCGATCCCCACTGCCCCAGGGTATAAAGCAAAGCTCTCCCACTGGGAGGCAACACCAGCATCCCTCTGAAACGTGCCCTGCAGGATGTTCAGGGCAGGCACCTCTGTCCTGCAGCGCTTGGAGAGGGCACTTTGGTCCCCAACAAGAGTCATTTTGGATTGGCGCAGACCAGCAGTGACAGCAGGGGTGCAGAGAAGGGGGGAGCAGGACACCCTACTCCTGAACGGGGAGCACTGGGGGCTTTGAGGAGTCTGGGGAGAATGACGAAGGGTGCAGATGTGCCTGGGAATGGCAGAGTGCGGGCAGGAGGCACTTACCCTGTGCAGCCCGTTCCTCCTGTAGGCAGGGAGGGAGGCCGACTTCGAAATGAGGGGATCTGCAAAGGAGCCACCAAAGTGCGTAAGGGAAAACGCAGAGGTGAGCCCCACACTCTGCAAGAGCCCCCTTGGGCCAACCTGCCCCTGTGCTCCCACATCCCTACCCAGCTCCAAGTTCACCCAGCTCTGTCTCCTTCCATCTTCAACTCATTTCCAGCCTGGCTTCCTCCTGTGCTGAAATCCCTCTCCCCCAAAATCCCTTTCCCATGGCAGCCCTCCTGCCTCACCCTTCAGCTCAACACAATCTCCTCTCTGTTTCTCTGACCCGTCTTCTCCTGGCACTGCCACCAGCTCTGCCCTGGTTCAGCTCCACCCTGGCCCAGCCTTCCAAGGGCTCCTTCTTCCCTCCCCTTCTTTCTCGCCCTCGTCTCAGCATCGCCTCCAGCTCTGGAGGACCTCACAGCCACGGGGGACCGGCGGCAGAGGGCTGTGGGCTCACACACTCACCGCTGTCGGCCAGGTAGTGCGTCCGGGGAGCTGCAAGGAGAGCAGAGTGGGGTGTCAGGGAGGACTGAGTGCCCTGCACCCCACAGAGCTGCCTGGCTCCTGGTCCCACAGGTCCTCCTTGGGGCTCCCGTGAGCCCAGCGGGGCTGAGGGGCTCCCTGAGCATCCCTAAACAGCCCCAGCTCCATAAGGGCAGGTGTGCCATGAGGGAGGAGAGCACGGAGTGGGCAGGGGGGATCTGTGCTGCCAGGCTCCCCAGCACCCCCGGGACCCCCTGCAGCCCCGAGGGGAGAGGGGCTGGGTGTATAGTGACAGCACTGTGAGCAAGGACAGCAGTGCTGGGGCCAGCCAGCAGGTCTGGGGTGCCAAGAGGTCCCAGATGTGCTGCTAATGAGGAGGTACACACGCAGTGAGCCGAAAACAGGTCAGGGGAAAAAGAGTGCAGCTGTGCTGTGAGATCTCCAAGGCACCCTTCGATCACCTGGGGAGGCACTTCACAAAGCTGCCCAGAGAGACTGCAAACACCTGCCAGGTGATGCCCCATCCCAGCCGGGGCACAGGGAAGGGATGGAGTCCTCCAGAGAGGAAAAGAACCTCCCAAGCCCAACTGTGGTGCCCAGCACCTCTCCCATCACCCCTTCCCAGTCCCCTGTTCTTCCCTCTCCACCCCAGCAAACTTCCCACAGGGGCTGTGGCCACGGACAGATGGACGGGGTTGTCCTTACAGCCGTTGAGGGAGCCCTCGTAGCCAGCCATGTGCAGGGCCTCTCTGCTGCTGGCCGAGCTGCGCGGGGGCGTCCAGGGGTCTGCATAGGAGTTGGACCGAGCCTTCATCTCCTCCCTCAGGATCAGCCTGCCGATGCCGCTCTGGATCTGGGCAGGGAGGGAAAGCTACGTCGCACCCCTCCTTTCCCTGCCCACCCCTCCCTGACCGCTGGCACATCGCGGCAGGGCACGGCACCTCCCAGCACCGGCTCGGCATCTCCCATCTGCTCCCTTGTCCCCGAGAACAAGGTGCTGGGGTGCCTCAGCAAGGGGGTGCGCTCACCCTCCTTCAGGCCCCATGCTGAGGGTGGCCAAGGGGGAGAGGGGACGGTGGTGGCCCCTTCTTGGGTGGTGGAGATGGGCTGAGCCTCTTCCCCAAAGCCAACCGCCACCGGGGCAGCTTGGTGGTGGCTGTCCCCTGCCAGGCTGTGGTCAGGGAGATTGCTCACCTTGTGCATGCCCCGGTCGTACCCATCCTCTTCACCTCCTGATGAGAACCTCCGGGCCCGGGGGGCTGCAAGGAGACATGTAGGGGAGGTCAGATGGGGATGAAGGTGGAGACAGGCAGGGAGGAGACAGTCCCCAGCTGCATGGGGACAGCTGAGACCCAAGGCCTGCTAGGATTTTGGGGTCACTTTGGCAGGTATCTCAGTCCAACCCCACCTTTGGGTCCAGACCCAGCTCAGGGCGGGGTTCCCTCCCAGAGAATGGCTGGGTTTGGGGGCAGGAATGGGTTTCCCTTTCCCCCAGCCCAAGGGGGAGCTGTTACCTTTGGGGGAGCCTTGGAAGGACCAGTACTCCGACTCGGAGTGGTAGTATGGGTCCGGGGAGTAGGCAGGGCTGTACTTGGATGACTGTGCGATGTCTTCGCTGGTTTTGCTTTTCGTGGCTGCAGAGGGGTTGTCTGCAAAAGGAGCAGTCAGAGCTGTAACAAGGACCCTGATTCCTGCCAGCAGGACTTGCAAAGATCCACCCCAGGACGAAGGCAAATCCTCTTCCCTCCCCTCTCCCCAGTGGCCACCAGAAATTTATGTCCGGGACAGCGCGGAGCAGAGCTGGGAATAATTCATTTTCAAACTGCTGACACCTCCTGGAGAGAAGGGTGCAGAGGCAGATGGTGGGGACGGTGAGAAGCAGAGGGGCCATCGCTGGTGTGGCTGGGAAGGGACCCGAACGGCTCATAGCCCACACCACCATGACAAGCTCTGGCTCCTGCACAGCGCTCACCCCAGCCCCGGTGCCACCGACCTCCCCGTGCCCCTGTGCCCAGTGATGGGACAGCCTGGGAGGGCTATGACCGCACGGGCGAGAGGGGATGGAGAAAGGCTCAGTTCTGGCAGGGAAAGGGCTTGG